CAAAATGAATGAAGCTTTATAATTATGAACAATTCAATGTTATCAATATTTATTTTTGAATTACAGATTGACAAAATAATTAAATATAAATATGCAGAAATATTAAGTTTTTATTAAGATTATAGTATCTGAAAAAGGTATTGGAATTTTGAGTCCTCTGAATATTAAGGATTCATGCTAGAATAAATCTAAATGAAAAAAAATTTTTAATATTAATGATTATTTAAAACTTTTCTCTCAAAAAAATTTCCTGTGAACGATAGATGGTCCCTATTCATCGTATTCTGACCTTGTAATCCAGCCAGATGAGGACGATAGCAATTAGGCAAAGATTGATCCGCCAATCAAAGGTGACAATTCTTTACTAGGTTAAAAAATTTATATTTAAAAATTTTGTGAACTAAGTGATGATAATTCTTTGCCCAATCTTTCTGGAAGTCCAGGAAAGAGTGTATTACCTCCTGATAAAATAATGTTTTAATAACTAAGAAATAAATTCAACATTCTTACAAATCCATTCTGATATCAATATCGCAATTCATAATTGATTTGAATGTTAATTCATGAATACCTGGGACATCAAGACCAATGATGCTTAGTTTGAGGAGTAATTCAGGGCATCTGAATATTTGATTTTAGATGACAACGACATTTCCATCTGGCAATTTATAGGGTCTGTCTTAATATTTGGTCATTTCATCTTCATTGTCAAGCGCAAAATAGCACATATTCTCTTTTATGTCTTCAGCAACTAAAGATGGGATCAAAAGATTAGATTCACTCATGAGTTAAACCAGGTATTCAGTATTGGCCTTTCCTGCCAAGTTAATTCTGAGACTAGAATGATGAAGTGTGGTACCTTCATAGATTGGAACTGTTTGAGAGACACCATGTCCAGAATCTACTACAATACCTGTTGTTCTTCCGTAAGCATAGATCGAAAGCACAGCTGGAATCGCTACGTAGAATGATGGTACATTGAATAAGATTTATGTCATCTTTTCTCTGTTGGCCTTTGGATTCATTGTAGCTTCAGTCAAAAGAGCTGGGTGGTTTTCTGGTGTTCTTCCCAAATAATTGAAAAATGCATGATGCCAAATTTTTCCATATCTATATGATTTATAAACACATTCTATACTATCGAAATGATTGACAATACCATTAATAATTGGGTAATTTAATGATAACTTAGATTAAAAGATTGATGACCAACAAAAACTTCCTCAATTAAAATACCATATGGATTGTGACTAAATTTTCTTCCTATCACCGAAGGGAAATAAAAACATTATTTATTTTCTGCAATGCATGCTTTTATTCGATAAGATCCATTATCAATAATAACAGCTTGACGTTCAAGCATATTAAATAATAGAAATTAATATCTAATTGAATTTGAAAAATAAATTCATCTAAATATTATAAGTAATAGAATTTCTAGTTTTTAACAAGTTAACTTTAAATATAAAATATATTGAAATAATTAATGATGTGCAGTTTTACGAAGAAAATTGATTCTTAGAAATCTAAAAGTTTGAATGTTTGATCTTATATAAATGAATGGGCCTATAACTTATTTAATATTGCTTCATTCTATTTCCATTATTTTATACAAAGCCAAAAAATTTCCATTTTCTCCTCATTATAAACTCAAATACTTTAGAATTACGGAAATTTGACTCAATTCTCTTCTGTAAATAAATTAAAGTTTATAAACTTTTCCTAATTACCTTTGTAATTATATTATCCATTCTGTATGAAAAAAATTGGATAACCATGTTAAGTAACTGAATGATAAGTATTATTTTCATAATACTAATGGTCTTATCAATGTTTAAAATTCATAAAGACACTGTTATGAGAACCATATTCTCATCTTTTGTGTGTGGTTTTTCCATTTAGGAAGTTTAAAGTTTATTGTAATAATTCTAATATACATTGTTGTCTAGTTCAGAATGCAGATCAAAATGAAAAATATGTATCATAAGAAATGAATTAAAAATAAGTTGAAAATAAACACAAAAGTATAATCAGTGTTATTGCAGTATTACAGAAATAAAAATACTACCATAAAGAACCTAGTAGATTCATGGTTATTTGAAATATAATCTAGTTCTCAAACCTACATAAAATATATTCTAAAATTAGGCATTTGAATTTTAAGTTAATTAATAATGAATAAAAATAATAAAATCATTCACCTGGATTTATTTAGCAAAAACCTTACAATGGCACCAAGTCCTAGATGAATTGATGTTTAATATTGAAATGAAATAATAGAATTCGTCTTCGAAGATCACAAAATGAAAATAGTGATTTTCAATCTTAAAGTATTATTAAGAAGATTCTTATAAAGAATGAAGAAAATGCAGTATTCATTCATAAGGAAATGTTTTTCTATTGTATTATAATTAAGTAAAAATACCAAGAAATTAATACTATCAAATTTCTCAAAATAAATCCGAGATCTTATCTTTTCATTATTATTTCTAATTAATCAGTAAAAATCACAATTTTTTTATTATTAAAATGATTAATATTATCATTTAATTTAGTAATGAAATTTCTCATTATAGTCAGAAATTTAGTGAAATGTACTAATACCCACAATTAAAATAAATCAATACAATTAGATAGTATATAAGATAATAGCAAAGCTCCTAAATTGATGCTATTGGCTGATTAACTTTATAGTAAAAAGAAAAGGGAAAATAATTTATGACTTCCGAATAGAGTATACAGTCATTAAGTTCATACAGATTTAGATGCATTTTCTATAGATGTATTTTATGATATTACATTAAGCACCAATATTTCCTAATATCCATGATTCATCTTAGTCTCCAAAATTCTTCCAAACCTGGGTAGATTTGCTTACCTATAAAAATATATGCGACATTAGTTTTCAAACAAATGAGGACTAGTTATGATAAAGGAAAATATATTTTGAATAATTAGATATTTATCAAATTCCTAATTCCGTTCTGATCAAATGATTAACAATATGAAATCTTATAGTAATTCAAAAATAGAAATCATAAAATATTATTCTAATGAGAAATCTATTCCTCTTAAGTTTTATCATAAATAATTTAAGAAACAATGGTGCCATTTTAACTGAACTTGATCTTAATACAACAAATTACCTTCTTGACTTTATATTTTTGTTAGATATGTTAATATTTTTATATTATAAATATACCGCTTGATAATAAATAGAAAAGCGACATTATATTTAATTTTTACAATATTTGCAATATCAGATAAATAAGATTAGTAGTAAGAGGAATGAAAGATTTAATTTTGGCTTAAATTAGAATCTACCCATATTATATTTAAGAAAAGTTATTTTGGTTCCTAATTTGCATATCTATATTATTATAAACATTATTTGTACTGTTCAATATTATTAAAGTCACAGTACATTTAATGAGAAAAACTAATAGTAATTTATAAAAAAGTAAAAAAGTTCAAACAATTCTTGAAAATGAAGAAGAATGTTATTTAAATGAAATTAAAAGTGTTAAATAATTTGAAATCCAAACTCATAACCTAATTCGATAAACTAGGAATTGAAATCTCTAATTTTATAATCAACTTAAAATATTATTTTTAAATATTGAAAATATCATCTTATATTTATTTTTTAATAGAATTATAATGAATAATAATCAATCATTTTTTTTAAATTGGCAACATAATCGTAGCGTTAACAGCACAATAATACCTTGAGTAAAATTGGCATGAGAGAAATTTTTATAGGCTGGATTGAACTTTATGATGATAATTTGGCGAGGTGAAGAATCACAATCCTTGCGTTTCTATACTTTATTATAGATTAATTTTATTATTTTGTAATAAATCAGAGTGGTAAAGGTAGGCAAAAAGTAAGAAAGATAATAACAGCCTTCTTAAATTTCTAATCATACATCTCATTCTGATACATTATTAATTATTGAAAGAAAATTTGAATATACCTGAATAGGTCTAGCTTAAAGTCTTAAATTTTGAGCTTTAATTCAATCAATTAATTAAAATTTTGTAATGCTTATTCAAATATATTCATATTAATTATAATGGCATTTCTATTTAATAAAATCAAGTAACAGCTAAGCAAATATTCAATTTGATTTAAAACGTTTTTACAGTAATGCTCTATACCTTCAGGAGTTTACTAAATAATTGATGTAACTGGGGTAAGGATATTATTCCATTTTCTGTCAAATTGAAGCCTAGAAACCCTGGAAACTTGATTAATTATTAACTCTGATAAGTCTTAATTTTTTTTCCTATAACAGGAAACTTGAGGAAGAACAGAAACTAATTTTACATTTCACATTCTACTAAAATGATTTTTATTTTTGCATTTATAAGATTTTTCTCAAATTAATCTTATCAAAATTTTCCAAACAATCAGGTTAATTATATGTCAATTTAAAATTGCTAGAATTTCCTAAATAATATTTGACTTTGCAAATTTGAGGATCTAACACTAAAAGAACACTTGAATAGAGAATTATTCAGCTATTTAGATCTGAAGTAAAAATGAATAATAATAATTCCGATGTTTACCTTTGGCTTACATAATTACCTTTACAATATGGTTTAATAGCAAGCACATATTCTTAAGTTAAATTTCCACTCTCTTTGAATCAGTCATAGATTCTATATTGGTAGAACGAGATTATTTCGTTACCTGAAAGCATTAATTGACAGAATTTAAGGATAGAATTTTCTTGTCTTTTAGACGTTGAAAAATTGAAATAATTTTTATAAAAAAGATTGTAAAATGAGAATAGAAGGCTACATCAAGAACTACATGATGATAAATTTTAAAAGAAAGATTTTATAGGTAATAATATTGAAATTAAAAGACAAATATTTTTATTTTTATTAGATTTGGAGTAGTTATTTCGAAGTGATCCCTTGATTAAAGTCTTTCTTTTGCAAGAATAGAACAACTTTACCTGATGATATATTTTATAGGCAAAGTATGGACAATGATTAGCTTGTTAGAATCAGAGTAGAAGGAAATTAAAGTTGGTACTAGATCATAAGAAACTCTTATAAGTTCAATCGATCAATTGAATGCTGTATGTATCTCAAATTTAACCACTTTAGAATAATTGACTTCCAATTCTTAAAATAATTAAGCCAATGATTTTACTTTGCTTTGAACAATTTCATTATCTAAAATAATTGCTAAGCATTTATCTTATTTTTATTCTTAAATTATATTCTTCATTTATCAACTTCTTTCTCAAATTCATAAATTTTATACTACTCCTTTTCAACATTTTCAATTTTTGATGTCAAACTATTCATTTTATTATTTAATCATTTATCTGTTATCTCGATAAAGTTTGTGTAAGGTTTAGGAATCTTATTTAATTAAAGTATGAGCTTATTGCAATTACTAAATGGCTCATTTCATGTCGATCTGAATATCAAATCAAATAAATACAAAATGTTATTCGGCGTAAAGTTTGAGAGCATACTTCATTTGGAATTGTTGAATTTAACCTTATAATTTATTAATCCTCTCATCAGAATTAGATTTGAATTAACGAATATCGCTTTTAGTTAAATATATATCAGACACAAAAAAGGATTTAAAATCATTGAACTTTTCACTTTGAGCGTAGATGAGTTAGTCCAATTGTTTTTTGATTTCTTTTGTTTCACATTGAACGTTACTTTCGATTAATTCTAAAGTTAAACATTTTTTTAAGACCTATCAGATAATTCTCTTGCTACTGTTTTTCCTTAGCAATTTTGAGCTCAACCTCTTCTAAATCCTTGTAATTTGGAAAGAATTTATTATAACTATTGACACTGATAATTATGAATCTTGAAATTTTTTAGAAAGCATCGAAAATCTCATTAAATTTCAACAGTGTTGTAATAATTATTTCTTACAAATTTAAATTAATATAAATCATCTTAAGAATTATTCTGCTATAGTTTTTTTTGAATTCGATGATCTATCAGTTGGAGCAGCCTCAAACAACTAATAATATTTCTTAAGGTTCTCATCCAACTCAAGAATAAAAGCAACATCGCCACATCTAAAAATTAAAATGAATTAGAACCTATAGCAATAATTTGGAGCTGACCAAACAGTGAATAAAAAATTATCAAACATCTGTTTGAATCCTTCCATTGCTAGTTGATGTGCTCTACAAATCAATGAAATGCCATTTTTACGATTAAATTCCTTGACAGCATCTGCTCCAAACACAAAACCTGCTCCTCTAACACTCTGACTCCATCCTTCAATTTCTCCACATTTAATATAACAAAAAACCATCAGGATAGACCACACATCAAGTCACACATAACACCTTCATGAGGTATTTCCTATTTTCTATTATGATTCGAATTTCATCAATTATTTGATGTAGGGACTCAAACCACCATGTACGCAGAAAATGTTGTCATTGACTACTGCTGCCAATGCCAAATAATCAAAAACTTCAGTGCAATACTTCCAAACATTCAAAGTACTGTATTATCTCAAACATTCATCATAAAATCCATATACTTAAGTAATTTTTCTAGATTCATGATTTCCTCAATTCTCTTATAATATATATATTTACAATGTAATCTAATCTGGATATCTCACTTTCAAAGCCAATAGTAATAAGAAAAGTCTCCACGCTATAATATCCTCTATCCACAAATCTCCCAAGAATAAGTAGTTAGTTTCTGGAACATCTCCTCCTACCTTAAATTATTCCGTTAAATCTTAAAATTATCCATGAATGTTCAGGATCTCTCCATTTTTTAGTGCTTCTACCCATTGATCAATATCTGACATTTAATTAGAAGAAATATTTATTTTTTTTGATTAATTATATTTTAAAGAATGTAAATAATAATTATTTTATATATAATATTTTGATAATCAAGTTAGGCAAATGAGAGTATTGGAGTTAAAATTGGTGATTTTGGTTTCTATTATTACTAGTATTTAAGTACTTTATCTATTTGCTTTCTTAATCTTACTAGTATTTTAGTTTTTTATTTTAGAGAGATAAGAATTACTTAGAAAATGAGTTATAAATTTCAAAGGTGATTTATTTCATCTAGATTTAATACTTTAAGAAATAAATTATATTAATATAATATTGTTATTATTAATTATCTATTTATTGTTCTTTCATTTTCTACTAAGTAAATTATTCTGATAAGAAATTAATACTTTAATGAAATATTTAGAATATGATTAAACTTGCTATTTTGAGATCAATTTACGATTTTTATTACTTTTCTTTAATTCAAAACTTTCTATAATTTCTTGACGTTATTATTTTGAATTTTTAAGATATTACATTGTTTTATGATCACCTTAATTCTTAGTTTGAATCTAATATAAGTTCAAGATCATCCTTAGAATTGATATTAAAAAGAGTTACATTAATCATAAGTTATTATGAAGGAACTTCTAATTCAACTCTCTAGGTTCCAAATTAATCGATATCTTATCGTCTCAAAATAATGTTAAGCCTATAATTTGACTATTCTACCTAAATAATCAATTATATTTAAATAAGGATTCTAAGTATTGATGTCAATTAAAGTAATCAAAATTATTTAAAAACAAATATTATTTTTTAAATTTTATAAATCATCCCTTTAGGTTATGATATTCTCTACTCACTACTTCAGCCCATGTCTTTTAAAGATCAGCTACTTAAAACCCTTATTTTAACTCAGATTTAATTAGGCTACAATTCATTTCATTTACAATCATTTATAATGATGTAGCATTTGCCTCTTCAGTACAGCAATGAAGGAATATTCTATTTTTTTAATGATCTGGAAGTTCTGTAAATAATTTGACTTATTCCTTTGGATAAGCTGCTCCCCCATCAGTGTAAAATAAAACTTCAGTTCTAAATATAGTTAAATATTAACTTTTCAAATGCATCATTTAAGTGCTGAACAATTAAATTGTATGTTTATTAAAATGCTGAACCAAAATCAGTGCCCCCATTTTAAAATTGTATTTTTTTTTCCATTTCAACCAAATTGATAATTTCGCAATTAATAGCAATTCTAGCAGTTGAATTAAAAATAATAACACTCACTCTAGCATTTAAATTTTTCTATATTATTGAGATGCAATTTAAACAACCATTTTTCACAGTTTTCCAAGGACTTCCACTCATTGACCCTGAATCATCAATCATAAAAATATAATGAATTTTAGGTTATCTAATTACTTTTTTGAAATTATTCTTAAGCACAAATTTGATGTCTGACTTTTTTAACATTTTTTTTAACTACTCACATACCATTTATCCAGTTCCTTAATTCCATACTTTCATCATTTTTTCTTTAATTTTTTATTACTCCATTTCATCCAAACCTTTAAAAATCCAGTCATCATATGTTTTTCTTATATCTATCCATTTTTTTGTTTCTTTTGTTGCTAAAGTAATTAGACATTCATCATCCATTTCATCGCAATTGAACAAAGAAGGGGTATCCTCATTTAAGACTCCATTCATCCCATTAAATTACAAAATAAAAATACCTCTTAATTAATGACCATTCGAACATTCATGTTTATGGTCATTTGAATAAGATTAATCACATTTGCGTTTGCACATTGGACAAGTGTGAAGACAGCCAATCATATTTAATTTTATAGTTGATAGCTCTTGATAACCATTAAATTTTTCTAAAGATAATGTTTCTTTCTTCACTTTTTAGATATGGATACCTAACTAATTTGACAATTCTAAAGCAAAAGGTTGTAAGAGTTATATTTATTATTCTGATTCTTAAAACTATGATTTATCAAAAATGTTGTCTTCTAACTTTTAAAAAGTATTAATTTTAAAGATTTCCTCATGCTCTTTCGAAATCTGAAATTTATTCATATTTTATGATACACCAAGAAGACATTAGATTATCAATTCAAAAAGTTTACTTTCATAAAATTCGTCATTTTTGTTATCATTCTCATTTAGAACAAAATACTCTTTCGATTTTATAGGAGGGTTTTATAAATCAGTATGTTGTCTTAAAATTTGCACATTAGAATTAACTTTCTCCAAAATTGCTAATAAAGATTTTCTTAATTTATTTTCATATTAATCTTAGATTTCAGCTTCTATTTTGTCAACCTCATTTTTAACATAATTTTCAATAAATTTAGTTTAATCTGTTATATATTCGACTATTTATTGATCAGTATATTTTTTTAAATTAATATCTTCTTAATAATCCTCTAAAATAGTTTTATCTAACAGTTTTATTAGTTCTGTATTTGTTATTTTATTTTTGTTTTTGATATCTGCACAAAAAGCGGCTTAATTCTCTCTATAAAACTGTTAAATACAGCTTTAATACAAATTACAAATAAAAGCCTCAGCCTTTAATTTACTTTATTCAGCCTTATTTTATTTTATGTCAGCAATGCATTTCAAAAATTAACTTTATTTAAGACTCTCAAATTTGTTTGTGCTCTCCTACATTCCTTTAACTTTCTTAAAGCATGTAAATCGCCAAATTATTAACATGGAATAATAATATATACATCTCTCCCCCATTCCAGTTAAGATTATGCCAAAATTAGCAAAAGATTTATTATAATTGATGATTTCCTACTCAATTTTAGACATAATTATTTTTATCAAACTTGTATTTAGTTGTTTAATCTCTTCGCTATCGGAATTATCTTGTTTGTCATTTTCTTGATGAGACTTTGTCATTTCTGATTTAATTACATCATAAATTGAGAAATACATCATTTACCAACTATTTATTTTCTCAAATTTGGAAAATCCATTTTTGTAACAATTATCTTTCTACAATAATATTTAATTTTCTTCAAACATTGCTGTTGAAAAAGAATATATAAAATTAAGTCTAAAGCTCTCTTGAAAGTTAATTTCCTTCATCTATATATATTTTAAGCTGGAGTCTAATTTTTAATATCTTTTCGAAAAAGGAGTTATTGTTTATTCTCTGAATATTATTATATGTTCAAAATTTTGGATATAATCTTAAACTTCTTTTTCTGTAGTAAAAGATAGTTATTTACTATTTAATTTCAAGCCTTTATTGAATTCTTTGATAATTTTTAAATATGTATCTTTTGTATAATCCAATAAGGGATATTATTAATTTTTGACCTATTTAAAAGACTTTTAAAATTATTTAAACGCTTTTATTACTAAGCCATTATAATTGGCCTGACTGGTCAACATTTTCCACCATGGGGGATCTTGAATTGTTTCTACTAACTTTTTCCTCAGTTCTTGAGTGTATTCAATATTAAAAATATCGAATAAAAGCATCAAATTTTCAACCTTAGAATTGACTTTCTAATATAAACCTTACTATGCGTTATTCTAATATTAACCTTAATATGAAGTTAAACTATATTAACTTTAAGATGCGGTATTTTAATATTAATATTTTTAAGAACTTTGATTTTATTCCAATATTTATATTAAATCTGCAAGTAATCCTCCTTCTTCTACTTATAATGTGTTTTAATTTTTTTTTTCATTCATTTTTATGTAATCATCTAAGGTTGTTTACTCCACATAATATATTGTCATTTGATATATGTAATAATTGTTAATATCCATCACATCATATTTAGTCTTAGGTTTTTTCATTCGAGCTTCCAAATTTTAATTAAAAATCTCTGCATATCTCATATTTTATTTTGTATTAAGAATTGGGTAAAATTAAGTTTAATAGTATAATTCTTTCTCAAAAATAGCATAAATTTCATTTCTTTCATCCAAATCTTATCTAAAAGGAGAATTATTATTAATATTCTCAAGAAACAAGGAAATAAATTTTTGCTCGTTGTCTGTAGTTAATCTGTACTCATTGAATGAAGAGGAGATACATTAATATTATTTGGTAGAATACTCCCTTAAAATTTCATTTTGTTGTTGTTGCGATTTACTTGTTATTTCTCCCCATAATTTATCAAATGCTTTTATAATTTAATCCTCATTTTCTTTTAGTTTAGTAAGTTATGCTGGATCCTTACTAACTTAAAGAATAAAGTATTCAAGCCACTTGAATCCTTTTATGTTTTAATACTCTCTTACAATATTTTTTAACTCTTCAAATACTATAACTTCTGAATCTCTTAAGGAGCTATTAATACGCTGGCTCAATTGCTTTACGTATTTAAGATAAATTTTTTTTTTAATTTGTTTATCCTATTTAAATAAAGTTATTTTCTCTTTTATATCTTATTCGATCTGGCTAAACCTTATTCTAAGATCTTCATTTTTCTCAACTTAAATTTAATTAAACAAAGCCAAATTTTTCACATTACTACGTTTCACTCTATCATTAATTTCACCTCTAATTTCATTTTGAAAACTAAAATTTTCTTAATCGTACATTTGTTCAAATTTACTTTTCATTAATTAATCTTGCTTGTATTATATTAATTCATCGAATTCCAATAAATCAGGGAAATTGCAAATAGTTTACCAATTAGTATTTATATTTTATATGAATAAGCTTAAACTTTACATTTGAGATGTGTCTGTTTGAGACTAAAACATTTTAATAAAATTTTTAATCATTCTTATCCCATAAAGATAAGCTTCCTCTGAAAATGTTTCATTAATTATTAATTATCTCCAATTTTTAGTTATACCTAAACTTTCATTTTTTCTCCATAATTTCTCGATACATGCAAATCCCAATATTTAAATATTGTCCTTTGAAATGTTCAAAAACTCATTATAATCAATTATTTAATTTTTTACATCTTACTCATTATTGTACTCTAAATTTAAATTATTGGCAATTCCCTGTATTTAATTTAAAAATGGAGCAAAGTTGTTGGTATCATTATTTTAATTAAAGCACCAACTTAATTGTTTATTAGAAGAGAGATTAGATTTCATAGACACTAAAGTAAAAATACACATTTCAACTAAATTTTTAAATTGTTGATGTATATCTCCTTTGACATTTATCAAAATTATATCACTTATAGCTAAAACAAAAAGAGCAATTTTTTTATCAAATTCTGGATCTACTTAATTTGGATTTTGTAATCCTTCAGAATCAAGTATCAGTATATAATCAAATAAATTATTAAAGTATTCCTTAAATTGAATTTTTAGCAAATTCAAATAAATGCCCTTTGTACATCTGCCAACGCTTGTCCAAAAATGGCATCCAAATATTTTATTTAAAATAGTAGATTTTCCCGAACTTTAAGGTCCTAGTACACTTAATACTAAGACCTTCTCCTTTCCTAAATTTATGAATTTATTTTTAAGTTAATCCAAAAATTTTTCATTTATTTTGAGAGAGTCACCATCTAGAAATTCAAAAGGTTCCCCTTTTTTAATCATTTCATATACTTTTTCTGCTGGATCAATATATGTATTAGCTAAACTTCTTTGATTTATTGCAATTAGCTCCCTCCAAAACATTTCAATCCCAATATTTTTGTATCCGATATCTTCTAAATTTTTTTTTAGTTCTTGTTTGAGTTATTCCTATTATTATCTATATTCTTTATTTTTGCCTTCATAATTTATGATAGGTTGAGATTCTTAGTTAGATTCAGTCTTTTTAAGCTTAATTTGATCTCTGTCTTTTTTAAGTTTCATCAATTAGTCATAAATTTGCTAATTTTTTTCCTACAATTCAAAAGTATTTCTTTCATTAAATTTTCTAACTTAATCTCTAAATTATAAATAAAGTATATAATATGAGCTTTGGTCCAAAATTTTGCAAAACATCTTTAGAAGCTTTGATAATTAAGAGTTTTTAATAGAATTCTCTAACTCGGTTATTTATTATTTTATTTCTTCATTTTATATGCTATCCTGATTATTGTCAGTCCCCTTTTAGTTTATTTTGATATAGGATTCATTTTACCTTGATGCATTTTCTTATTGCATAATTTGGCTTTATCTTTCTCTTAATTGCTTTAATTGGTATTCTATAGATCTTATAGGAAAGGCCTCTTAATCATAAAATCCAAAAGGCTTTAATATCAATCGGTTTAGCTCTTTTTCTAAGTCCTTTATTATATCCCTATCTAATAAAAATTAGTGAGATATTTGTTTTTCTTTTGTATCAAATTTTTTAATAATGTTTAAAAAATCATGATCTGTGACTAATGATGATTATTCATCTCCTTCAATCTCATGAAAAAGAAAAGCTTAGGCTAGCTATAATTCTAACTCTTTTTAAGATTTATCCAAGCCTTTCTATGCTAGATCAATCATTTTATGAAGTTTTATCCCTTCTTTTTTTATTTGCTCTAAAATTTTCTTATATTATTCATTATTTTTATTCTCTTCTAATTCTCCTTTGTAATTTCTTATTAGAAAGCATACCTTATGGTTATCTATATAAGGAGTATTCTTGATTTTTTTTAACTAGTTATAATTTTCAATAAGTTCTAATTCAGAATCAAATTGTATAATCCACATTTTAAACAAGGGCAAAATTTTTACCAAAATTTCAATAGGTATTTAGCCATGAGCATCAGCCACACTAAGGTTTCTTGACCCATTAAATTATGTATCAAACATAATATCAATAGTATTATTGTTTAATTGGCAGGTATCCTAAGTCTCAAATTTTTCTTATTGATAAAATAATTAATTGATCAATTCTGTCTTTCCTATTTAAGCTTATTTTTCACTTAATGAAAAATTGATGATAGAGAAAGATTTTTTAAATACATAATAGAGTTTCTCATTAAATCCAAATAAATCGATTTCCTCTTTAGCGGCTTACAAGGATGGATTTTGAAAAATCAAAGGGATAGGATACATGCTTTAATAGAGTTTCAGCAACATAACTTTTAGTTCATCATTAGAGTTGTTATAAAACAATTAAAACAAGGCCTTCATATTACTGATAATCTTCATTGATTCTTTATTTTGACTTCTGTATGTAGTTATTATAGACAATAGCTTTTTTGATGATTCCCCTCTCTTAATAATGTTGAAAAAAAAAGGAATTAATTCCTTAAATTTTGATGTATCCTTCATATTATCCATCCAATCTTGAACAATTCTCATTTCTTATTGCGATGTTGTTTCAGTTAAGGAGATATTGAAATCTTCAAGAGTAAAACCACCATCTAAAGGACATTAATCAAATATATTTTTTTGAAGAAAGTAAACAGAATTTAATTGGATACGCTTAAAGTAATTTACTTTTCCCAGTTCTTCCTTATAAAACTGAGGATTCTCCAAAAATAATGATAAGCATTCCTCCGATAAATTTTAAATCAGGTCTCTAGAGTTTAAAAATTGTATTAAGTTTAACTTGAAATTATATTTATCAATAATTTATCTTTTTTTTGCCCACCAAATTTAATCGAAATCATAACAAGGCTAATCAAAAAAATAATGAAGATTAGATAGTATCAATTTTGAGATCTATTCATCCTTTTTAACCATAATTGTAAAAATAATTATTAATGTTCTTTTAAAAACACTAGGTGTAATATATTGCTTTATATTTAATGAGAGTAAGTAATTCAATAACCAAGGTCTTAGACTCACAAATAGGGCTCTGAATGTTTGAATCTTAACATTATATTTTCCTGGGCACATTGGGACTAATTTTTTAAGAATATTCATATAATTATTTTTGGTTTTAGTCTGTGAAATTAAATATTAATTGACTGTTGCCACTAAAAGTATCTGAAATTTATTCCTTCCGAAAAGAATTTTCAAAGAAAATAATTCCTTTTCATTTAATAGCAATAACTCCTTGATTAATTCTTCTGAAAATAAGGCCGTTTGTTCAAATGAGAATTCTTATTGCTTTCCTTCTAAGTTATAATTTTCTATAAAATAATCGTTTAAGCACATCAATGCCCTAACGAGCTTGAAAGATTAACTTATCTTATAGAGCTTGATGATGCTTGTTATAAATTTTTTGAATTTTGGATTCAACAATTCTAAAAATAACACAATTTCTCCATATGATAATTTTTTTTCTTGATTTATTAATTCGCTTATGTAATTATCAATATCATCGCTCTTCTGAAGTATAAATTGTAACTCTAAATCTTTTATTTTTTCATCATAAAATTCTCTTTAAGGATTCTAGAACAAAAGCGATATAACAAATTGCTATTAAGTTGTTAAGCTCGTAACAAAATTTTAATTAAGAATTTCTTATGAACAATTCTTTATCAAATCATCTTACTTTTTCAAAGTAGCATCATTATCTTAACTGACATCATTTTATTCTCCTCTTAAACTTTGTTCAACATTTTCATTCTATTGAGTGAACTAGATTCTTAACTTTTTCAATTTAAATATAGGTATGAAACTTAAAATGTTTAATTAGCAATATAAATCAGTTTATAAAACGCTTTGAATATCCTTTTTAATTAATTAACAAATTAAATTGTAATTATTTTGTTAGAACTCTTAATAGGTGAATATTTTTTCTTTTTCTAGATATTCTTCTTTTTAACATGAAAATTATATTAAATGATGAATTATAAAAAGGTAAATTTAATCTTAGCTATTTTCTTTTACTTTAGAAATAAAACCCTTTATCAATCTTAACTTTTATTCAATTTTTGTGAGTTTTTTTAGATTAATTTGCAATTAATTAAATTCACCATATTTCTGTTAGCAATATTACTACCAAAAGTAGAAGATTATGCTAAAGTACAGGCTCTCAAATCCATGATAATTCAAAATATTTTAATCTACTTTTTTGAAATCTATTTTATATTCCCGTTTAACATTCTCACAATAAAGTAACTGTGAAACTTATTTTTTAACATTCTCAAGTGCTTTTTCTTTTGTTGAAATAGTGCAGAGCTTAATAAATATTTATTAATCAAAGGAGAGAGATTATAATTCTGTTGAAAAATCTTAACAGTTTTTTCCTTCCAATTAAATGGCAGAAATAATTTTATTAATCATTTCATAGTTTTCTGTTTGCAATAAATTATTTTCGTACTCTAAAAATTACAAAACTTATTCTTCTAATAAAGCACCTATAGTCATTTCTAATTTTTTTGCTTCTGATTCATCAAGATCATTATTCTTGTCTATAAACCCTAATAAAATTTTAAATATATCTTTATAAGGATATCCCCATTCTGTAATCTTTGATAAACGATTGAGATTCAAAAGGTCGACAACTTTTTCTTTAAGTTTTTATATAATTTCANCCTTTTCATTTAATAGCAACAACTCCTTGATTAATTCTTCTGAAAATTAGGATGTTTGTTCAAATGAGAATTCTTCTTGCTTTCTTTCTAAGTTATAATTTTCTATAAAATAATCGTTTAAGCACATCAATGCCCTTAAAAGCTTGAAAGATTAACTTATCTTATATAGCCTGATGATGCTTGCTATTAATTTATTGAATTTTGGATTCAACAATTCTAAAAATAACACAATTTCTCCATATGATAATTTTTATTCTTGATTTATTAATTCACTTATGTATATATCAATTTCATCGCTCTTCTGAAGTATAAATTGTAACTTTAAATCTTTTATTTTTTCATCATTAAATTCTCTTTAAGGATTCTAGAACAAAAGCAATATAACAAATTGCTATTAAGTTGTTAAGCTCGAAACAAAATTTTAATTAAGAATCTCTTATGAACAATTCTTTATCAAATCATCTTACTTTTTCAAAGTAGCATCATTATCTTAACTGGTATCATTTTATTCTCCTCTTAAACTTTGTTCAACATTTTAATTCTATTGAGTGAACTAGATTCTTAATTTTTTCAATTTAAATATAGGTATAAATCTTAAAATGCTTAATTAACAATATAAATCAGTTTATAAAACGCTTTGAATATCCTTTTTGATTAATTAATAAATTAAATTGTAATTATTTTGTTAGAACTCTTAATAGATGAATATTTTTTCTTTTTCTAGATATTCTTCTTTTTAACATGAAAATTATATTAAATGATGGATTATAAAAAGGTAAATTTAATCTTAGCTATTTTCTTTTACTTTAGAAATAAAACTCTTTATCAATCTTAACTTTTATTCAATTTTTGTGAGTTTTTTTAGATTAATTTGCAATTAATTAAATTCACCATATTTCTGTTAGCAATATTACTACCAAAAGTAGAAGATTATGCTAAAGTACAGGCTCTCAAATCCATGATAATTCAAAATATTTTAATCTACTTTTTTGAAATCTATTTTATATTCCCGTTTAACATTCTCACAATAAAGTAACTGTGAAACTTATTTTTTAACATTCTCAAGTGCTTTTTCTTTTGTTGAAATAGTGCAGAGCTTAATAAATATTTATTAATCAAAGGAGAGAGATTATAATTCTGTTGAAAAATCTTAACAGTTTTTTCCTTCCAATTAAATGGCAGAAATAATTTTATTAATCATTTCATAGTTTTCTGTTTGCAATAAATTATTTTCGTACTCTAAAAATTACAAAACTTATTCTTCTAATAAAGCACCTATAGTCATTTCTAATTTTTTTGCTTCTGATTCATCAAGATCATTATTCTTGTCTATAAACCCTAATAAAATTTTAAATATATCTTTATAAGGATATCCCCATTCTGTAATCTTTGATAAACGATTGAGATTCAAAAGGTCAACAACTTTTTCTTTAAGTTTTTATAGAATTTCATAATTATTTATTATTATTGGGTTGATATTGTTTTAAACACAAAACTCTTTTTATTTTAAGAGATTTATTAACTATTACCAGTCTGTCTGTTGAATTAGTTATTAGTAAATCTTTTTATAATCGATAACCTCCTGGATTTCAGTTGAAATATCTTCTGTAGTTAAATATTCCAATTCGAGAATCTTTACATAGATAGAAGTTTATTAATTAGCTTTAATGTAGACAAGAGCAGCCTTTTGATCTTTCTCATTCAGTTTTTCAAATATTTCTTTAAACATTTCTAAAACCTCGCATTCATTACTCCAGATGCCCTCATTTATTTGATCACATAATTCTACCAATTATTCTGCTACTCCTTCATCACTAATTTAAAGATAATTAATAAGAAAATAAAATACTTTTAAAAAGATATATACCATTCATAATTCTATTAAAATTCTAATAATTAAGAAAAATCTCAAAAGTTCCAAAATTAAATTGGAACATTTTTCTATAACTAGATTCTTTTTAAACTTATAATTAACAGGGGATTCATCATAACTAATTAAAAATAACTTTGCCTTATGGATAGAATATTCATTTGGGTTGGTTGATGCTCGTTTATTCTGTGAATAAACATTACTAGGAATTTTATATTTTTCCTTCTGCAATTTTCTTTGCTTGAAGGATGAATGAAGCAGCATTGAATGAAAAATATCGTAAAAATTAGTTCTTCTACAATGGATTAAAATGAAAAGTTAACAAAATTATTTTTTTTACTTTATTTTAAACCTAATTTATATTTATAATAAAAGATAAAATTAAAAATTCCAGAGATGTTAACTAATGATAAACAAATTCCAAAATAAATTATTGATTTCACTCTGAATAATATTATTAAAAGATAATAAATAGAATCTAAAAACTAAGAGATTTGAAAAGTTGATGACATTTATTGAAAGCTTTTGATGAAAATATGGTTGATGACGATAAACTATAACTCTAAATTTGATATTATATGCCATTCTAAAGAGTCTGAATAATTGATAATAAATATAAAAAAAATAAATAAATTCACCTCTAATATCTGAATCAGATATAAACACCATAATTAAAATGTAAAAATAAAAATGGCTCAACTAAAGATCACATTCTTTCACTTATAAATGAAATTCTAACTTGTATTTGAAATAAAAAAAATAATTATTATTATTTTAAGAAAGAAATAACCATAGATTTCACAATAATATTGGTTAATTTACTGACATACATGTTTAAAATTCTGATTTGTTATAGAGGCTTAAATTAGGATAGTTGAAATTCAAAGGAAAATATATTAAANTATTTTAATCTACTTTTTTGAAATCTATTTTATATTCCCGTTTAACATTCTCACAATAAAGTAACTGTGAAACTTATTTTTTAACATTCTCAAGTGCTTTTTCTTTTGTTGAAATAGTGCAGAGCTTAATAAATATTTATTAATCAAAGGAGAGAGATTATAATTCTGTTGAAAAATCTTAACAGTTTTTTCCTTCCAATTAAATGGCAGAAATAATTTTATTAATCATTTCATAGTTTTCTGTTTGCAATAAATTATTTTCGTACTCTAAAAATTACAAAACTTATTCTTCTAATAAAGCACCTATAGTCATTTCTAATTTTTTTGCTTCTGATTCATCAAGATCATTATTCTTGTCTATAAACCCTAATAAAATTTTAAATATATCTTTATAAGGATATCCCCATTCTGTAATCTTTGATAAACGATTGAGATTCAAAAGGTCGACAACTTTTTCTTTAAGTTTTTATATAATTTCAAAATTATTTATAATTATTGGGTTGATATTGTTTTAATCACAAAACTCTTTTTATTTTAAGAGATTTATTAACTATTACCAGTCTGTTTGTTGAATTAGTTATTAGTAAATCTTTTTATAATCGATAACTTCCTGGATTTCAGTTGAAATATCTTCTGTAGTTAAATATTCCAATTCGAGTTTCTTTACATAGATAAAGGTTTATTAATTAGCTTTAATGTAGATAAGAGCAGCCTTTTGATCTTTCTCATTCAGTTTTTCAAATATGTCTTTAAACATCTCTAAAATCTCGCATTCATCACTCCAGATGCCCTCATTTATTTGATCACATAATTCTACCAATTATTCTGCTACTCCTTCATCACTAATTTAATGTTAATTCATAAGAAAAATAAAATACTTTGAAAAAGATATATATCATTCATAATTCTATTAAAATTCTAATAATGAAAAAAATCTCAAAAGCTCCAAAATTAAATTGGAACATGTTTCTATAACTAGATTCTTGTTAAACTTATAATTAACAGGGGATTCATCATAAGTAATTTAAAATAACTTTGCCTTATGGTTAGAATATTCATTTGGATTGGTTGATGCTCGTTTATTCTGTGAATAAACATTATTAGGAATTTTCTATTCATCCTTCTGCAATTTTCTTTGCTTGAAGGGTGAATGAAGCAGCATTGAATGAAAAATATCGTCAAAATTAGTTCTTCTTCAATGGATTAATATGAAAAAGTTAACAAAATGACTTTTTTTACTTTATTAACCTAATTTATATTTATAAGTTTAATGAAGTTTATGAATTCTTAAACTTCTAAGAACCTTAATTTTTTGAAAAAAAAATTAAATGTTATTATGTAATAACTGAATCGTATTTCGCTATCACTCAACTACATAAAATCACCCCATCTATTCTAAAGTAATTAAAAGATAAAATTAAAAATTCCAGAGATGTTGACTAATGAAAAACAAATTCCAAAATAAGTTATTGATTTCACTCTGAATAATTTTATTAAAAGATAATAAATAGAATCTAAAACTTAGGAGGATTTGAAAGGTTGATGACATTTATTGAAAGCTTTTGATGAAAATATGGTTGATGACGATAAACTATAACTCCAAATTTGATATTATACGCCATTCTAAAGAGTCTGAATAATTGATAATAAATATAAAAAAAATAAATAAATTCACCTCTAATATCTGAATCGGATCTAAACACCATAATTAAAATGTAAAAATAAAATGGGTCAACTAAAGATCACATTCTTTCACTTATAATGAAAATTCTAATTTGTATTTGAAATAAAAAAAATAATTATTATTATTGTAAGAAAGAAATACACCATAGCTATCTCAATAATATTGGTTAATTCCATCGACATACAAGTTTAAAATTCATATTTGTTATTGAGGCTTAAATTAGGAAGTTGAAATTCAAAGGAAAATATATTAAAGAATCTAGGATTTTGAAAATTTAGAATAACACAGGAAGCAATGTAGATCTCATCCTTACAAATTCAATCTATATTATAATTACTTAATTAATATATTCATCTTTTTATATATAATTAGAACAACAATTTCAGTAGAAATTAAAGAACAATAACAAGATAATTAATATAAAAATAATCTCGAAATTAAATTAATTAACAATAATAATCATCATATCAAAAATCTAATATTACTAATAACATCCAAAAATTTAATCATAATAATAATTCAAATACCCTAATCTATAGATAATAACGTAGCATTCACAATTGATTTCTTTATCAACTTTTATATTATTATTATTATAATATTTAATAGAGATTCGAAATCTCGTCTCTTATTAATTATATTCTAAAACATCTTTAAACCTCTCGCTTAATTATAAATTTATACTCTAGATATAATTTTAATCAAGATAATAAGTAGTTTCGTTCAATATATAGTAGAATATTTTATTGATTTATTCATTTGATTCTGCTCTAAATATGGATGTCGATTTTTAATACAAATTCCACTTGAACCATAATGTAATTATACTTAATCTAACTTAAAATTCCTTTCATCTCTTTAATTATTGTATTATTTAAAATGAAATCATCATTAATTAACGTAATTGTGATTTAAAGAATTCTTCTCTAACTTTTGTATTTCACATAGAAGTTCCATTTTGATATTGACGTATATTTTAGCATAAAAATATTTCTTATCCATTTTTCTTGTAATTCTTTTTGTTGTTCTAAGTTATTTTTACTTTTTACTTTCAAGATTTTTAGAAATATTTTAACATTATTGATGATCATACTAATGTGTGCTATTATTGTAATCCTTCAATAGATTAGTTGTGCGTGGGTGAGAATAAGTTCATATATAACAACAATCAAGCAATTTAGTAACACAGATACTGATGGATTCATAAGTCAATTTGGTAATCCAAATATACCTGCTAATTATATGACTTGCTCAGCAGAAGGGAGCTATATAACTTTAAATGCTTAATCACAATCAGCAACATATATGAGCAGTTTATCAGCAAATTCCTATTCTATGTATTTAATCACATATGATCTCAAATTTTTAACTTGTGGAATAACACGGATTTTGTATCGTACAGTATTGGCTCCAATTAGAAATTAATAACTTATGATGAGATCGAAAAAGTAAGTGTTTCTCAAGGATTTTGCAATAATTAGGTTGCAATCATTTAATCTATCAATACTACAATAAATTCTACTTATATTTCTGGTTACCATAAATTTGAGATAAACTCTCTAAGCGCAAATGTCTCAATGAAAAATTTACTCGTATCTGTCCTATAGTGTCACTTGCAGAATATGTTTCGGAAGCAAATTAAACTAGTGTACTCATTGTTTTCTTTTTGGTACTTTTACACCTGAGAACGCATGTACATACGTATGCCCAAGCACAGCTATGTATTTTGTTAAAAATTAGGGTTGCAGGCCTACATCCCAGATTAGTTAATAAAATATGTGAAAGGAGTTTGTGAGCCTTATTCAAGTATTGATTATTATAATTAGTTTCCACCTTTCTTAGTCTTTATATTTCATATTATAAATCTACAGAGTAATTTAAATGACAAATTATTTATGATTTTCAGTAATTAAATACCAGAAAATATACAATTTGATGGTTATTATATTTATGGATTGTTTATAAATAAACAAGGGCTATATAGAGTTCTAACATTGCCGACAAATCCAGGATCATTCATGATAGCGTTTACTCTTGATCTACTGCGCTTTAATAAAATGCCACCTTTAAGTAGTATTCAATTTTTAATAAATGATAATTACTATGGTTAACTATATACCGATGATTAAGGTAATTTGAAAGCGGACAAATTATTCAGATATTATACTGAAACCAAATAAAATACGGTGTTTAATGGTATTTGTTATACTGATAATCTGTATAATATTTTATATTTCTATGCCAATATAGCAAATACTGTCATTATAAAAATCATAGGGAACTATTAGTAAATTTATTTTATGTTGTAGGGGATTAAGAAGTTGTTATGTTTATTCTGGGTATTGTCCAATCAATTAATTGCTTGAGATGTGAAGAAAAATTTAAATGCGCTTAGTGCTAAGGTGGATATTTGAAATCCAAATGGGGGACATGTAGTTAATGTTTAGGTTCTTATTAATAAAAAATTAATACCACCCATTGTTAGGAAGACGATGATCAAACAAATTGTAAAAATCATCATTATATTCGATTCTAAATACATTATTAAAGAATTCATAGGCCTAGAATTAGATCTAGAGGCATACCCAGAATATACCCTTTTGAGTGCTGTTGGTTTCTTAAGGGATCAGGAATTTATTATTCAATTTGGAAATCCCAATAAAGAATATTTGAAGGACCTTTTATTTGGGCATAGGCAAAGTTTTAAAGAATTGTTGCAATAGAAGATCCTCATCATGCTATAACTATTTCTTTTTATGGGGTTTTCGGGCCTAACTTCCCTGAAGATGGATCATTTATTTTTAGTTTAGATGGAATTCCTTAAACAGAATTGACATCAAGTAATTCAACTGAAATAGTGATCAAACGTAAATAAATCTGTACGTATAATAGCATAACAGTTTAGTTTGAGTGCTTAGGCATAATGAACCTATCTATGGTTTTGTGGGTTTTATTAGTTTTATGTTACTGTTCATTAATTCAAACCTAATTGCAGCTCTTGTTCAAATGATTCAAATTGCTCAGATCCAAATTAT